AATTATAATAAACGGTATTTCCATCATGTATAATTTCGCCATCCCAATAAATCAAAACTCTAACTTTTGGTTTAGAAGACATTTTTTTTTTTGAGATTGAAATGAACAAATATAGAAAGTATGTTGTAGGTGCTACCAGTTAATGTTTGAACGTCCTCCTTAAATAGAGATTGGAGGATTTTTCAGAATAAAAAAATAAAAATACATAGTGTAATAATTTTTTCCGTTTTTATGATATGTCAAATCAATATAATTGTATGACAAACACTGCAAATGAGATAAAAACGTGAAAATATTCCTCTTTGTAAAGTGGAATTTTCTCTTCCACTTTGTAAAGTGTAAGATTTTCTTCCACTTTATAAAGTGTAAGAAAAAGTTCCACTTTATAAAGTGTAAGAAATAGTTCCATTTTATAAAGTGTAGAAAATAATTCCGTTATATATTAAAATATACACGTTATAAGACTAACGGAAAACGTTTAGAATATTATATAAAGTGGAATTTTTTCTTCCACTAAGCCTATTTTAGTTACTTCCTAAAGTAGTGGCTTATTTTGGTCACTTTTATATTTTTGTGGCTTATTTAGATTTCCAGTCCGCATATGACTCTCTGGTTATATCTAGTATGTTTATTAATGTGTTTGATATAATATCATTATATATCTGATTTTCTTATGTTAAATGTATTTAAGTTTTCATTGTCTTTGTATCTCAAGTTATTTTTGCAGCACTAGCATAATTTCAAATCGAAATGATGATGAATCTGGCTCAAAAATTACTTCACCATCGTTGCTACAATTCGAAATGAAGATTGCTTATTGTAAGTATAGAAATCAAGATTCAAAGAAAGAAAATTGAATTAATAGAAAGAAGAATATGTATACACTTTTTATGTTTCTGGAAAAGAAATGAACAAAATTCTATATATGTATTTGAGGTAGCATTACATGTATTTACATTATATGTAGTTTCAGTTCAACCTTCAACTCCCAATCGAACAATTGATATATCTCGCTCAAAAGATATTTCACCATTATTGCTATATTCAAAATTTTGATATTTAGTTGTTATGCATAATGCGCAATCGAATTTACGTCTTTTTAATTTTATTAAATATCTCATTCTCATCTTGTTTCGAATTTCCGTTATTGCAATCAAATTGTCTTCCATTATATATCTGATTTCATGCTTTTACGTGTACAATCGATTCCTAGTTATAAAATTTGTCAATGCTAAAGTCATGGACAAATTTAGTGTGTTTTGATTTGGTTGGCCATTTCTTTCGAGGAGGAATTGACATAGGGTGGGAGTAGTTGGCTTAACAAAGCAGCGCTCCAAAAACCAGTGTCTGCCAAGTCGTGGTCTACTAAATTATATTCCTATCAATTCTATAATTTTTGTATTCGATTTCAGAGATTCATGAACTCGAATGTCTCTACAATACTGTGATATTGGTCATTTAGAAAAAAATCTCAATACTTAAAGATACACAAAAATGAATTGATTAAGAAGATGAAATTTACAATTTCAGAAATACTAAGGTTTATGATTTCAATATTTTAGTAAAACTGGTAAGAGTTTGATACGAAAGAATCCTCTAAATCCATTATGGTTGTTAATTTCCCATCATTTACTCCATTAATTAAGGAAATAAGTTACGGCCTTTAATTTAAAAGTAATTAGATAGTGTATCTCGACTTTAAATCTGACGAATACATGTATCATGTATTCGAAGGCCGAAAAATGGTATATAGATAATATAAAAAACTAATGTAAATTCTAGTAATTAGGATCTGTGATTCATGTAGTTTGCTATTTTTTTATCTCAATTTGTATGACATTTTAAAAAAATAAAATTATGTAACATTTGATCAATAAAATATTAAATTAAACTAATTCAAGTTGGCTTTAAAGTTAAGCTAAATTAACTTCCCAAAACAAAAAGTGATTAACGTGGCACGGCAGAAATTACATGAACCCAGAGCAACAACAAACCCCTATGCCGGCGATTCCGATGGCGGCCGGCTGCCGGAGGATTCCGGCGTTGGGTTTCGGCACGGCGGCAGATCCTCCGGTGGAACCAGAAATCGTTAGAAGTGCAGTTGTTGAAGCGATCGAGGTTGGTTACAGGCATTTTGACACAGCTGCTCTGTACAATTCTGAAGAAGCACTGGGTGAAGCCATAAACGAAGCAATTAATGACGGATTCGTTGAATCTCGTGAACAATTGTTTATTACTTCAAAGCTATGGTGTAGTGATGCTCATCCTCAACATGTTCTTCCTGCTCTCAACAAAACCCTACGGTAAAATCCTCTTCGAAGAACTCCCAATTCAATTGTTATTGCTTTTATTTTAGAGAAAAGTATTTGAAAACACCTGAACTTGGTGCAAATTATTTATTGAATGTGGCGCAAATTATTAATTTTGTCCCAAAACTATGGACATCCTTAACAATACCTTCTAATTGACTAACTAAAATTAGATACACCCGATATGCAACATGGCATAACAAAGTGTTAAAAGTACCCTTAAACTTGGAGAGAATTTGGGGGGTGTTTCACTCATGTTGCAAGTTTGGAAATGTATTTAAGTTCAATTAGTCAAGTAAAGAAGTGTTTTTTAGGCCGTTTATAATTCAGGTACAAAACTAAAATTCACGCCGAATTTAGGGGAGTTCTCAATATTTCTCTTTATATTTTATTTTATGTAGTGCATTATTGCGATGAGTTCAAATGGAGCGACATACTAGTGAAATTTATATAACCGACCCCAACTTGTTTGAGTTGAAACATAATTGTTGTTGTTTGGACTTGTGCAGGAATCTTAAGATGGATTATATTGATTTATATCTAATACACTGGCCACTGAGTTCTAAGCCAGGAATTCATGAATACCCAATTAAAAAAGAGGACTTTATTCCAATGGATTTCAAGTCAGTTTGGGTAGCAATGGAAGAGTGTCATAAACTTGGACTCACCAAGTTCATTGGAGTTAGCAACTTTTCTTGCAAGAACCTTGCTGATGTTCTTGCCACTGCCAAGATTCCCCCTGCTGTCAATCAAGTATGTGAAAGAGAAAATATGTCGCTCGGACTTTCCAATAACGTTGTTGCACCCTTGTCAGATCCTCCAAAAACACTATTTTTGGAGGATCCGTCATGCACACAATGACATTTTTGAAGAGTCATAGCAACATAGGGGAAAAATCATAATCAAGCACTGGACTTACTTGAAAAGTAGTACTCCATTTGTCCCAATTTAAGTGTCTTAGTTTGACTGTGCAGGGAGTTTAAGAATAAAGGGTGACTAGAGTCGTGTGGACTTAAACTAAAGATGTATAGTCCTTTAAATCTTGTGGTCTTAAACTTGCCATGTAGATGTTGGAATTGGAAAACTTACTAAATATGGAAAAAGGCACTCTTTCTGGGAAAGACCAACAAGAAAAGTACGACACTTAAATTGAGACAGAGTGAGTAATTGTGTTTGATAAAATAAGGTTGAGTACTTAAATTGAGACGGAGGGAGTAATTGTGTTTGATAAAATAAGGTTGAGTAGAATGTTTTGTAGTGAAAAGATAGGATTCTGACTGAAGCTGTTCTTGATTTGCAAGGTAGAAGTAAATCCATGTTGGCAGCAACAGAAGCTAAGAGAGTTCTGCAAGAGAAATGGAGTTCTTGTTGTTGGATATAGTTCTTTAGGATCAATAGGTACCTTTTATGGAACCAACAGAGTTATGGAATCTGAAGTGCTCAGAGAAATAGCAAAGGCCAGAGGCAAAACCGTCGCGCAGGTATTCTAAGATGACTTCTAACTTTAACTACATTGACACTGTCGGTGCATATAACTTAAAATCCGTACCTGGAAAATCCAGGTTGCTTTAAGATGGGGATATGAGCAAGGCATTGGCGTGGTGGTGAAGAGCTATAACAAAGAGAGAATGAAACAGAACCTCGAGATTTTCGACTGGTCATTAAACGATGATGAGTGCAGAAAGATCAGTGAAATCCCACAAAGTAGAGTTTGTCTTGGTAAGGATTACACATCTCCTTATGGACCTTACAAGACAACTGAAGAACTCTGGGATGAAGAACTCTGATTACTGTAATTTCCAGAATGAACCATATCGTTCGAGTAATTCTTCTTGTTGTTATGTCTTCCTCCTGATTGTGCTAGTTGTATATATCAAGATAGAAATAAAAATGGGCAAAGATTCATCCAGTTCCTTGCTGTATGTTAGGAGTCTTTTTTTTTTTGAAATTAGTAATGTTGTATTCCTCAGCATTAAGGCTATGCTGGTGACTTCCAAAAATTCGTACATAGAGGGGCTAGGAAGGCTAATTACAAAGATCCTAACATATCTACTAGTTGCTGTATGTTAGGAGTCTTATAGTCTTGTTAAAAGTTTAACATGTCAGTAAAGAAAAAGGGCAACCTGGTGCATTAAAGCTCCCGACCACAAGGGCCTATTGGACACAGCCTTACCTTGCATTGTTTCCAAGGTTAAGATACAGGTCGCATATAATTTAGTACACAAAGACACGGGAAATGATGAACAAAATAACAGAATTCAGCGTATCCTTACAGACATTGCTCTAACATTTAGTTCACATTTTGAGAAGATTCAGCAACTCACTTACAACTAATTACAAAGAACAGATATAACAACAAGATCTTGAGGCATTGAGTCCATAAGTTATTCTATTGTTGTTTCCCATCTACCAATAACTATAATAGGCTTGAACATCTAAGAAACTAAATATGCATGAACTATGTACATATATAGATATTTCATGTAGAAACTGAAGAACAAGCAGAGTATGTTCATATACTAGATAACCTGATACGTGTTAAACAAATAGCAACAAAGGTAGCTTGCGTGGGATACACTGACACACAAGTTTAGTCCGGATTCAGCAACGTCCGGGCCTCTCATAGTGTGGAGGTAAAGAAGGACAATTCTCATTCATGTTGGCATAGGGATCCAATGTGTTGTACTGGGGCAGTTCCATTTGATATTCGCCAAGAATCTGGCAGAAAGAGAACTTATTGTCTCCACTGTTGCACCAACTTGGGAGGCGTGTCTGATTATCTTCAAAAATTTTGAGCATGTAAGCATCTCTAATCTGCAAGTAGTAAGAAAGTCTTGTGATCACAACAGAATGGAAGTTATTTTCCTTATAAGACGATTAAACAAAGGCATTGATACCCACAGTGAACTCCGTTACTTGAATAGAGTTGGAAATAGGGCCAAAAACTCCAGCTTCTTTATACATTGCTAGAATGAAGGCCACGCATGTAGTGGATTGGCCATCACTATAGATCCATTCATCTTGTTCCGGGATGGTCAATAATTGATCAAATGTTATACCACGTCTTTCAGTTTCAGCAAGAATACCATACAAGTCCAAATCCTGTAAGAGAGGTATTAATTGCACATATAAAGTGACCTATACAGATAAAAGGAAATTGATTGCTTCGGTAACATTTAGAATCTATGATATATTTAACGAACTCTCTTATATGTAAGCAGTTACAATATGATTCAAGTTAAACTGAGGAAGCTTTTGAAAGCATTATTCAATATATAATGTTATTATTATGCTTGCTCCACGGCTAAATGTCTATGTAAATGAAGATCATCTATAGAATATGGCTCTATACTGTTACTCATAAGAGTTACAGAGTACCTCTACGTTCGAGTCACCAAATGATGTGACAATTCGGTAATGCTCACCCATTTTTTGACATAGAAATACAGAAAGGAGGTTGGAGAGTATGTTTCATATTTTTTCCTTCAACAGAACCCAACCTATCAAGATAGCTTGTTTATAGACCTCAACAAATCTACTTTAAAAAAAAATCATTTTTTAAGAGGGAACTGATAACCTGTCTTTATCAATTAAATCTGGGGGATGAGCCATACCCAAAACCATTAACTAATAGTTAAGATATTATACAAGTTTCCAGCCAAAAGATTCTAACAACAAAATATAACATATTCAGTTCACCTTAGTGCCAAGCCTCTTATTCAGAGCTTCGTTCCACATGTTAGCAGCATATGCTGGCTGCACTCTTGTCCACATGGACATGACAGAAATCACCTGGCAACAAAAGTCATCTGCTGAGAAACCACAGGAAGTTGTCCAAGAGTTCTATTTAAATGGAAGAAGGGGTAGTGATGAACAAATTAGTATTCCTTCAAATTATTGCTATTTTTGTTTTGATTGACTTGCTTTTTCACCTTTTTGATGGGTTTCTTTTATCAAATGGTTCCACAGGGAGGCAAGTAGTAATCAATAACCATATATCCTTCTAAATTTTAAAAACTGCAAATATATTGATGACTGGTTTATGTTGGGTTTATACTATGTAAAGGTATTTCCTAGAGATAATTAAGCAAAGTGATATCCAAGGATAGAATATGTGCATGTTAGATAAGTCATTTGTGACTTGAGAACTGTCTACCGGTTAGCATCGAGATTGATGGACATATGGCAATTCACCTAGTTGCTTTGGAGAACACAAACATCCATTGCTACTTGCTCATCTTAGATATATTCCAGTATAATCATAGTTTATACTTTTAAGAGGAAAGGAAGGGAGACAATACCAAGTGAGCATCAAGAGGTGGAGGGTAATTATCCGCTACTGTGTCAATCCAACTAAAAATCATGTTATGGTAACCATATGGCTTCCCGGACATTTTCCGAGTATATTCCCATGCTGCGGTATTATTAAATCTCGCACGCACTTCAGGATGTAAGGGCAACAAAGCAACTTGTGGATTAGATTCGTCCTTGAGTGTCAATTCCCACCACTCATCCCAAGGGATAACTGCAATAATTTCTTCACCCTGCAAAGATATACCACAAGATAAAACAAAAATAAGAGAACGCCACAATTCATGCAATTAAAATGCAAGGCCTTTACAGGCATTAAAAGCTAACAAAAAAACTCAGAGTATTCTCTACCTCCGGAGGTAGAGAGGGAGCACAATGGAGTATAGTAACTCACCAGAAGTCCACTGCTATCCATAAGAAAAGTTGCAGAAAAGTAAAGGGGAGCATAAGGAGATTAATGTAACTGAATCTATTTATGTGACGTGGAAAATGATGTTTTTGAGATTTGCTAGCAGTGTTTCTCCGTGTAGTTTAGTGGAGAAATACATAGATTTTCTCATTTGCTCACCTTTTCATTTTCGTGTCCTGATTCACCAACCCAAAGATTACCCAACTCATCCTTCAAACAAACGGATGTATGACCAGCAAAGGCACCAGTGACCCACTTCTCAAGAGTTTCAAACCCACCCCACCGTCCACGTATCTTTGACAGAGCTAAGAAATCACCAGAATGAACATCATCTGGGTTAATTGTTGCCTGCCGTGGATGTGGACGTTTCTCAAATGTCGCACTCATGTGCTTCTTCAGAAAAGCAAGGTTAGAATTCTGGCCCCATGCGGTGTTAGAAAACAGGGGTAGTACATCCACCAAGGAAAGCAAGGTTCCGAGCATTCCTGATGGCATGAGAAATACAGAAATTCCATGTTCCTTGACCTGCATAGCAGTAGCTTAAAGATCAATTATAAATGCATGGACATCCATTGGAATTAGACAAAAGGCCCAAAACAAGAGCATACATATTCCCTTTCAGCAGGTTCCTCCCATGACTCAATTTTAAATGTGTGATCATGGCCCGAAAAGTAGTAGTCCCAGGATATCCTATAAGGTGTAGCAAATACATACAGATCCATACACGTCCAGCTGTGTGCTGCGCCTGTCTGCAAAGTGGGTAAATGAAATCTGAAATACAACTGTGCTAAGGATGACTTTATCCAATTAAAAACAGCATAATAGAATAAGAACAAGTATATGTAGATACCAAAAAAATCGTATTTCTTTCTTAAGGTGGTATATCAATTTTCACTTGTTATCACCCCATTGGTTTCTATTTATGGATCATCTAGGTGTCAACAGAGGAAACATTCATATAATCAATCTAGCTTTTTTTACATGGTGAAGGTGGAACCACAAAACCGCATGCTTCTTCTATCATTTGCATCCTAGTTTCCTTTAAATGCTAGAGCATTTACAAACCATATAACCGAATTACATTATAGCAGCTACGCGTCAAAACGAATACTGGCAAATAGTAAGTCACATTCCATGTTTATTCTTGTTGTGAAGTGGCTCATTTATGTAGAAAGAAACAGCCACAACAAGAATCTTTCATAAATGGCAGGAATCTGACTTTCTCAGCAAGCAGCTGATTCAAAGCTACACCAGTTTTCCCTCCCCCTACTTCTGCACCAAACTACCAGATAATGGCAAGAAATGCACTACTATTTCTAATACTAACAACAAGAAGTCAAACTTTTGTTAAAATATCAAGTGATAATATCATCTTAATATGAAGCATTCTGCAACTTTACCAGTAATATTAACACTTTCCTCTTTTCCAGACCTTTTTATTCCACTATTTTGTAAAAACTTGGGTTTCAAACATGCAATTCTTAGTCTTCCAACACCACACTCTCCCAACCCCTGCCCTAACCAGCAAGATAAATTCCTAAGAATACAACAACCATATACATCTTACCAGTGAATACTGCTCTACAGATAAACTAAACAGAAACCATATTCATAATTCAGAAATAAGAAGCCTAACTTCAGCTCGCAAGCATGCAATCATTAACCTTTTCCAACACCCCACCTCCCCTAAAAAAGAACCCAGCAACATAACTTCAACCCAGAAAATTCACCTTTTCAAGCCATTCCTATCACCATTCATCAATTAAACATCATCCCACCAAAAATTACCAGAAAAACTACTCTACAAATCAACTAAACACAAATTAAATTCACAATACAGAAATTTTAAATCTACAAACCGATAGATGAATAGTAGCACCGCCAATGCCTCGATCACCGGGACCGGTAAACTCAACCCTTGCTTCATTCTCAAAAAAGCAAGCTCCTTTCCAACTAATTGACCCATTATTAGGAGCTAGAGATCCAATATAAGTAGGCATCAAATCAACAGGGCTATGCATAGTGTTAAGGACAGGCCAAGAAACCTGATGCGGCAATACAGGAAGTACATCCTTGACCCTAAACGGCATTTTCAATGCATACCCAAAACTTAACCCTAACCCAATTCCCAATATCCATAACAGTGTTAAACTACACAATTTCTGAGGTCGATACATCACTGAAAACAGTGAATTCAACAGT